AAACCTTCCCCGCCTATCCACCTCCAAGGTAAGAATATGCTCCGTTGAGTATCTCTTGAGATATTTTAAACGTTTTAGACTCATTTTTTAATTTCGCTGATTACACCGCCATCTGTCATCAAAAAAATGTTTGTAATAGGTAAAATTTATGTAACTTTTTCTGAAGAAGCGAAATCTGCAATAAAAAATGGGGGTTCCCATTTAAAATTTTAAACTTACCCTCTCTTTCACCCACAACGGGTGGGGGTGGGGGGTCATGTTAGATGTCAAAAGATAGCTTTTTTGAAAACATTGAATACGTATATTTTCAGATTTCTGATCTGATTTCTCGAGATATTCGACCGTTTCCACACTTTTCGGACACCCTGTATATATATATATATATATATATAATATACTCGTACGTACAAGCATGTTAAAAATTTATGGAAAAGATTATTTAATATTTCCTAATAAACACACACACAAACACACACACACACACACACACACACACACACACACACACACACACACACGCACACACACACAGATACATATCTTATCTATAGAAATTCTCCTCCGTTTTTACAGAGTCCTTCTGATTTGGAGTAAAGCGAAAAAGAGTCGAGAATATATGTATATTACTTTATACGAATTTAATTCGCTTAACACAGGAGTGTGTGTTTCAAACGATTTATGTCACGACGTAATCAAGGAGATAAAAACAACTGTGAAAGAGAGAGAGAGAGAGAGAGAGAGAGAGAGAGAGAGAGAGAGAGAGAGAGAGAGAGAGAGTCGAGATCGTCGACGTCGCGTGGCCTCTGCTAGTATAATTTTCTCAATACGGTCAGTCCTGTTTTGGTTTCCAGTCCCCCTCTTTCCCGCTTAGTCAACCGGATCTCATCAGCCAACGGAGAGAACTTCAAGGCGATGCCTGCATATTTTTTCTCAAGTTCAAGTTCGTCGAGTCTACCCGCGTGCAGCGAAACGCCGCGCCGCGCCGCCTTGATCGGCCCTACATGCTCGTCTACTCGAAATTATATAGATCGACCGATCTTTCTCTCTTGAGATATGATATGTTAAACGTCATGTTGTTTTTGGTTAGTCTGATGAAATCCTGTTAACTGAAGCACATCAAGAATATAAAAAAAGATATTAATTTTTTTGTTATATAGATATTTTTTACCGCCTTTAATTGAACCTCTTTTAAATACAATTGAGCTTTATATATTACATATAAATTAATTAATCTGATATGATAGCGTCAATGGCAGCACTAAAGATGTTCACACAATACACAGTAAAATACTTTGTATACATATTATATTTATACATATGTATGTACATTTGCATAATATTTTATATTATGTGCTAACAGTTAATTCGTATAACGCAATTAAGAGAGTTTATTTTTCGCTTTTTTTGACTTGCTTCTTGGATATATGATAATATCCGGGATATCGTATATCAAGAACAAAAACACGTTAAGCGTTTGACTTTTGTCAACGAAACACACGTACGCAGAGTGCAGCTAGATTTACATTTATGTGTGCTTTATATTTATAATATAGACATTATAGACAATGTTATATTAATTTTTATTTTCTGTTAATATTCGCGCGACATTTAGTATAAAAAAAATTACGAATTAACGAAATTAATAACATTTCATTTTGTAAAGTTATAAAAGAAGCTAGAGGAAGATGCATTTAAGAGATTAATAGAAATAAATATACGCGAAACTGATAATAGATTTAACTCTCTTTAAAGGAAATCGAAATGTACAAACGATAATTCGTTTTGCTCCCTACGACAACTCTATACGAACACATAAAATGATTCGATAAAACTTGTCGAAAATGAATCGACACCTACACTCGTGACATTAAAAGACACCAAGGGTAAACGGTTAATCTCGATTCTCCTTCGACTCCCACCAACACGAATGTAATTGTCGAAATGTATTTGTCAATTGGACAACACGTGCCTTTACGTAATTTTGCATGCAGTAATTGAGTAATCCATGCATTGACAATACAGGCTGATCGGCAAGATCGGAGAAAATAAATAACAATATAAGTAATTGAAATCCGTGAGATGTTACATATTGGCGAGGATAATTGTGAGAGATGGATATATATTATTAATTAATATATATCAAAGCCATGCATTTTTTATGTATTATAAACTTGTATTTTTTTACGTATAACGCAAACGTGCACTTCCATCTTGACTACTCTTGACATTCTCACGCATACTGCTATATCTTTATATAAACAAAAGTACAGAGATCGATATTCAGATAGTCTCTTCTAAAATTTAATGACGTCATACATGAATTGACGTAATTGTTACAAAAGAAGGATCGCCTTTATCGATCAACTTGAAATTTTTCGACGAGGGTGTTTACCCTAAAATGTATTTATTGAACAAAAGGAGGAAAAAAGCGAGGAAGAGAGAGAGAGAGAGAGAGAGAGAGAGAGAGAAATTTGAAGTTTATAGGTGAATGTTCGGGAAATGACGCTTGCCAAAGGCTCAAAGCAAGCGAGGCCGCTTCTCTGAAGCGATCAAATCGATATGTAGGCGTGAATGTACGTGAAATGCTTTTCTACGAGTCCTACCGTTAATCAAGTCGCAAAATAATTTTTAAAGGTCCCTTCTAAGGACATCGATGAATAGGCGGATAATATCTGCAAAGCTGTACGTATCAAAAATACTCGATAAGAGTAAATATGTAAATACATAAAAGTAAAATAACGGTTATCTTATTGTTAATAACGTCGAATAATAAGTTATATCTAACATATAATAAGAGATATCTTTAGATTATATATGTTAATCAATATATTACTGTCACTTGAGAAATATTTTTTGCAACGAGTTAAACTTACAATAAACAGAATTAATAAACGTGCAATAAAACGGTACGTTACGTGAAACTTGTTGATTTCTAAGATTCGTAAGATTCGAAACTTTTGTACGTAATACTTGTTACAATAATACTAGCAGAGCCCTTAAATCTGTTAAACATAGACAATTAGTAAAAAATTTTATTAATTATATTAAATAAGATTATATAAATATTTTAATCATATAATCCGTGTAATTCTTTCAGAAGAGATATCTATTTGTAGAGAGAGAGAGAGAGAGAGAGAGAGAGAGAGAGAGAGTATGCAATATTATAAAATTTAATATACAGATTTATTGGTAAAATAGAAAATTCTCTGATTGTAAATTTAATCTAATTAAAAATTGCTATCACCTGTTAATCACTTACCGTAGATGAGTCAGGTAGCGCTTTTTGTGACATATATGTATAACAGGTTTGTTTGTTGAGAAGCTCTTGTAGCGTATATACTCCCGTTGGCATCCGATACAGAAAAGGAGAGTAGTCTGACCACGCCTGGCCGTCATGGAGGACCTTGAAGAATCATCACGAGCGTCCCTACCCCCCATATTAATGTATGTCCGCGCAACAAAGCTCCATTGGTTGTCGACATCCGCGACTGAAGGAAGAAACGGAAAAAGAAGAAATCGCGCGGCTTAGCGCACGTTCGTTTTCTGCTTGAGACAAGGCGACGCCCTCTTCGAAGGTGCGTTAAGAAAACGCGTGCAAAAGAGAGAAGGGAGATGGAGGCCGAGGGATTGCTTGCTCCTATATAAGACGAGATATGTCGTATTTTCGAGTATTATCGTACTGACTGCAACCCAGACATATACGAGCTCCAAGATGTTCAAACTGGTAAGTCAATTAAGATTTCAGCGAGATTTATATCTACATATAGTATTATATATATCCGTTTATTTATTTATTTTCCGATGTCTCTGTTTCTCTGTCTCTATCGAGAAGATCGTTATAATTTCAGTTATTATACATATACTACACTGCAGGGTGCAACATGTGTATTTAGTTTCAAGTCTTGTAATATCTATTATAATTGCATCTTATAGTGTCTCTAGGATTAACGATAAATAAGAGTCCGGCCAATATTGTCCTATTTTTAATTATCCTGATGAAAAATGGCGGTATCAATTATAGATGATGACTGAGCAAGTGAAAAAGTTGAAAAGCAGATATGTGAAACGCGTTAGTGCACGTGTTTGTGTATGTTCACATACTTGTATATTTGTTATTTTCTATCGATTACTAAAACATTGGCCAGACTACTACTTTCTAAAAGTGGAAAATTCGATTTATTAAACAAATATAGAATTCATATTATACATTTTTAATTCACTTGAACTACAATTAATTTTTGCTTCATACATTTGCAATTTTTACAAAACTATTGCAAATTCATTTCCATCTCCGAGAAAGATACGCATCGCGAAAGAATTCTAACACGTCGTTGAAAGTCATTGAGGAATATTAACTGTTGTACAATTATTTATTTGATATAAATATTTATTATGATATATCTGGAGAGAAAGGAATAAATTTAAATTAGTACCTTTTATTATATATATTACCATCCACTGACACACAGTTCACGCAGTGTCGTACTACTATAATACTTGCAACTTAATATCATTGCGTAACGTTACAACATTGTCACTGTCGTTACAGTTGTGTCTGTTGGGCTTTTTGGCATTCGCGTTGGGTGCGCCCGCGCCGGCACCGGCGCCCGCGCCAGCACCGGCACCCGGGGCGATCATCGGCGCTCCGCTTGTGACATCCTACAGTGCTCCCATCGTTTCCGCACCGTTAGCTTATAGCGCATACAGCCTACCGACTTATAGCGCGTACTCGGCATACCCGGCGGCCTTACCGTACGCGTATAAGAGCTACGCGACTGGCCTAATCGTCTAAACATCGGAGGAGACCAGGCATTCAGGAGATTAAGGACCAATTTCCATCGACACACTTCACGGAATCGATCGACCAATGATCAACGCCTACGAAATCTTATCCGAAAATCAACCACGGATTTCTGTTTCTCCGCGGTTCATTCTCTTCATCCCTTTCTCATTCGTTTCGATAACTCCGCACTTACATTCCATTAGACCCAGAATCAATAAAGCCGCTTAAAAGCAATTGTACGAATGTTTTTTTTCTTAGTTTTTTACTCCATCACATCCCACCCCTACTCTTTACTTACAATTAGATTATTTTATACTTGTACAATATATTGTATATATGAAAAGGATCGTGCATTTAATTATGTACGACAAGTCGAAATCCACATTGGACTCGAGATACATTTATTTATTATTATACAGGTATATCAAAGAATCTTTGAATCGATATATACGTATACTATCTCATTGTCAAATAGAATATATCTCAGAAATATCAAAATTATTCCAAGAATATCCTTCCTTGATCAATTCTCTGAATAAAATAAAATATTTTTAATTTTTAAGACGTAATGTGTGCGAAATAAGATATTAGAAAATTACATGGTTCACTCTTTCATTCAATCATAAATGCGAATTGACGCAATGCCTTCAAATATAATACATATGCACAATGCGTACGTATCTCGAAAGAATCATCGATGACGTGCAAATTTAACCAACACATCATTACAAACATGTTAAATGTAAGTATATCAATATGTTACTTTGAGAAATCCTTTGAGATGCCTTCTGGCATTGAATGGAGTTGGACAGAATCGAATAAATCTATATCGAATGTAACTTGCAGAGAGAGAGAGAGAGAGAGAGACAAATACGGTGATAAATTAATAGATCGAGCTGAAAATTTTATTCGATATTTTAAAAGATGTAATTAAAATGTGTACAATAATTAATAGATTCGTAAAGAATGATAACATAACATTGAAAGTAAAACATAAAAACTTTAATAATTTATTTTTCTCTCTTGTCATCTCGTCTAACTAGATATCACCACTTATGAAATTATACAATTTATATTGTATATTACAAGATTTTTACACACATATAATAATGTGTAATTAAATCACATGTAATATTATTTACATATTTGGCGAGCGCTACATACATAATAACACATATTAGGATAACTCCGGCAAATACGCCGCAGAAGTTAGAAAAAATAAAAGGAGTGGGGGTAATTTTTTTACAACTACTTTCTTATATGCTTTCATGTTATATTAATATTGTGTTATGATTTCAGCTTCTTATTGTTAATATTAATGAAATTATTGTAAGTTGAATTGATTTATCACTGTAATAAATAACGTCATCATAGATTATAATCTATATAAAATGATTACTGTAGGGCGTGTAAAAGACTTAGTGATTATTTCGTGATACATATAGTAGTAGAATAGTAAAGCATGTTGTGCTTATACCCAAGTGTTGAGGATAACCTTTAGATGTGTGTTTAGTGTGTAAACTTAAACTTGATTGTGAACGTTGTAAACGCTCAATCTTTGAGTGTACATACTCAATGTTTGAGTGTAAACACTCACAATTTAAGTGTAAACACTCAAATTTCAGAGTAAACTCCCAAAATTTGGGGTTTACACTCCAATTTGAGTATAAACACTGAAATTTTCAGAGTTTTTTCCGTAAGGGTGCTATCAGCTCACCAAACATTTACTTCGTGAAAAAATTATATGCACGTTATATGCTCGAAATTAGGGGAGGAGCACATGTAGAATAAATAGACGAATACAGTAGGGATGGGCGATGTTTGCCGATTAATCGAAATGGCTGATAGTTTTTTTCGAGTAATCGATTAATCTACTTGATGTTCTTCTCAGCGATGCATCGATGCATCGATTTTTTATGTTAAACATCGGTATTTTTTAAAAAAATTATTTTTCATCTAATAAGGTCGTGTCACAAATCACAATGGAATGATTTTACTTGTCTCTACTCTGTGATTTTGTACTGTACTGTGATTTTGATACTTGTCTGTTCTGTTTTGTTTATTTTTGCTTTTAATTTGTTTATTCTTCTTATTGAAAGTGAGATTTATGTTTTATTACAAGATTATCCCTTGGTTTACAAATATTTATTTTATTTAAATGTTTAATTGCGTATTGTGTAAGATGCGTATGTAAAATAGTTGAAAATGTTATGTATGCATTACTTCCAATTAAACAGAACTTTCCATCTTGAACTATTTCCTTGAAAACATATTATTTCCTTTAACCAAAATACTATACGTTCATTAAACAATGTCTGCATTTATGATTTGTTGTAAAAGCATGCATTAGCAACAATAGTATAATTTTTCTGAAAATTATTTATAGTTTCAGCATCAACCTACAAGTGCACCGCATTTCGGAAAACTGAAACCTGAGAAATTATTTTATCAGAGGGAGAGAGGGAGAGAGAGAGAGAGAGAGAGAGACAAAAATAAAATAAAATGTATTCATTAATTTGCATTATTCCTTTATAAAATCATCTCTTATAAAGTCATTTCTACAATTAAAAAATACTTCTTTCAAAATAACCGATTAATCGATATTTTTGATAAATAATAGATTACCCAACATCGATGGATTCAAACATCGATTAATTTAGCATCGATCTTTTTCCCAACATCGCCCATCCCTAATTTAGACTGTTTAGCCATGAAACCAAGCAGTATTTTAGTTGATCTCTTTCTAAGAGATGGCGTTGCAATATGTTAGATAAGGACAGATGAATGCGTTTGAGCGAGACACAAAGATATACATATAATAAGTATAAGAAATGAATGAAAGATGTCACTATTGTCGAATTTGGAATTTAAAAGTCAGTACTATCGACCTTGATTAACTTCCATCGTCACTCCAGCATCCCCTTAACCGATGTACAACCCGTTTTTCATCTCTTTCCAATTCTAAAATTCGTCCCTACTGCTAGACACAATTATTGCTTTATTTACCATTTCGAGTCTTCGCTCAGCATTAATCGTATATACATATTTCAGTAAACGAGAAATTATTGAAAAATGTTGAAAATTATTCATTGAAGTGATGTCGAATCAAGTTTTTGAATTTTTTAAATTCTTTTCTATCTAAGTAATTCGCTTGAATCAGTAATTATGGATTGGTTATTTACTTTCTGTATCTCATCCAATGTGCATAAAAATGAAACATACGATCAATCCGGTTGAATCCGTAATTATGTATTGGTAATTTACTTTTGGTATCCAATATCCATTTTTTGGTATCCCAATATTCAACGTAATGAACTAATTTTGAATTTGACGCGCGGTATTGAAGAATTGTCTTAACATGAAAGACCCACCAAGTGCTATAGTTGCGATCTCGGCAAGTGATATCGTTAAAAAGCACGCATCGAGGTAATATACAAAATTACCTTTTTAAAAAAAGGTAAAAAAAAGGCACCAAGTGTTCATGTACCTTCCATAAAAAACTGTACTTTACATAAACTAAAAAAAACCGTTACATAAATAATATAATTCAAGTGGTAATATTTTGTTAACTTTTTATTATTAAATTACCCCTCAGTAGTACGTATGTGTTGCATGTATTAAAAAAAATGAAATCAAATCTTTAAATTACGCCAATTGGAAAAAGAATATATAATTTCTTGCAACATATAACACATACTATTGTATTTT